CCCCGTCAAACTTTCGTCTACCCAATGGTCACTTCATCCAGCCTTACACAGCGGCGTGTTGATGGATCACCACACTCTCTTGACAGCCAACGATCGCCTAACTCCCAATTGTTTCATCAACAGCAGTAACCACCTTGTTAATTGAGATGAAATTGATTGATTAGAACACCGCTGATTGGTAATTACGTGTGTGGGGAGCCAAGAAAATGACCTTGTTCCGTTTTCAAGTGATTGTAATGATTCTCGTCTTCTTTGATTGCCTGGTCGCTAGAGGTGATGATTAGAAGGGACGGTCATATAAGAAACGGATTAGATGTGGTAGTTTGAGGGTCTGGTGGACAGGGTTGGATCTCACAGCTCAGGGCTGATGGATCTGGTAGCAGGGGATCAGACCTTCTTGGTGTTGTCTGACGATCCGTAGTGCTGGTGTAAAGTGATGGTGTTACTCTTGAGCGATACTGACCCTTATGATGATGATGATGATGATGATGATGATGATGATGATGATGATGATGATGATGATGATGATGATGATGATGATGATGATGATGATATGATGATGATGATATGATGATAATGATGATGATGATATGATAATGATGATGATGATGATGATGATGATGATGAGAGGGGTAATAAGGAAATGACGACAATGAGAGTAATTAGGTAGTGATGATAAGAGTAATAATATAATTGCCGACAAGGAGAGTAATTAAATAATGATAATAATAGGAATAATATGATAATGACAATAATGACAGTAAAATTAACAATGAATATAGTTAGAATCATCACAATATAATATCAATAATAATAAAAATAATAACATCGATTATCCTTAACAGCAATAATAATAAAAGTAAAATATAATAATACATCTAATAGCAACGATAATAGTGTTAATAATAGCAGCTAAGGTCATAGTGTTTATGTTGTGTCGTACTGAACTAATTCCCCTTCTGTACTGGGGTTACTTGTACCGGTGTTATATCAGGGTTATGTAAAGTGAGTTTGTTGTCATTAATACTCTGTTCACGGGTCAGTTGTTGCCATCTTGAGGAAACTTGATTATTTTTTTGCTCTTTATTAACTTCCATCTAATCTAGTTTGTCCCTATGCGTTAAGTAATCTTTGAAAATATGTGCAAATCAGTCATTTACACGCCCACCACTTCTGCAATCTGTCTCTCCTCACGCCCACTGCCACCCAAATCAGTAGTCACTTCCACGCCCACCACTACTGCAATCTGTCCCTCCCCACGCCCACTGGCACCCAAATCAGTCACTTCCACGCCCATCACTAATCCATTATGACTCTCCTCACGCCCACTGCCACCCAAATTAGTCACTTCCACGCCCATCACTAATGCAATCTGTCTCTCCTCACGCCCACTGCCACCCAAAATAGTCACTTACACGCCCACCTCGACAGAAAATAGACCAACAAACCTACCCACCCTTCCACCGAACCACCCACACGCCCACCCACCCATCATCCTAACCCAACAAACCTACCGACCCTCCCACACGCCTACCATCCTAACCCAACAAACTTAGCCACCCTCTCACCCTTCCACCCACACGCCCATACGCCAGCTTGAGGATATACCCGGACCTCATAAAAGCGTAACCTGATCAGGTCATGAAACACAAAATAACCTGGCGCTCGTCCCCTTAATTATTATTTATTACCGCAGTGAGTCCGGGAGAGTGGGCGTCGGGCGTGGGCGTTACCTGACACTAACACTGCCCAGCCGCCCACACTCTTGCCCTACCTATCCCCCACCCAGCCACCCACACCCTTGCCCTACCTATCTCCCACCCAGTCACCCACATAATCTTTTCTATACCGCCCAGCCACCCACACTTTTGCCCTCCTTACCCATAACCCAGCCACCCACACCCTTGCCATACCTATCCCCCCACCCAGCCACCCACACCCTTGCCATCCTTACCCCCCACCTAGCCGCCCACACAAGCTTTATTTACCCATTCAGCCGCCCCTCTTCCTCGCCTTACTATCCATCTTACCCAACCACCCATAACCTAGCCCCCATCCCTAGACCTAACCACCCACACAAGCCTTCCTCAGCCCATACTACCCACATAACCACCCACATCCTCTTAACCCACCAAACCACACCACACCCTCCTTCATCCACCCAATCACCCACCCAAAAGTACTGTACGCTGCTGTTTCATGGATGTCATTCTCCCTCATTTCTAAAGCATCCATCACCTCATCCATCTTCATCTAAGCCTTTCCTTCTCCCCCACATCATTCATCTCTCTCTCTCTCTCTCTCTCTTTCTCTCTCTCTCTCTCTTCTTCTTCTTCTCTCATCTTACCTCTCTCTTTATGTCTTTATTCTTTCTATTTACGTTTTCTTTTACTTCTGCATCTGTTTATTATTATTATTATTATTATTATTAGTGTTGTTAGTTTGACTATTATAATTGTTCAATACTTATAATTTAAAGAGAGAGAGAGAGAGAGAGAGAGAGAGACCCTGTTTCACTTACCCATGACTCTCTCTCTCTCACCCCTTGAGTTTCTCACCTCTGATTTGCTGATTCCTGATTCACTGGCCCTCTGATTCACTGACCTCTGATTCACTTACTCATAATTCCCTGACCTCTAAATTACTGACCCCTGATTTACTGATTTTCCGATCTCTCAATATTCTGATTTTCTGATTTCTTGTTCCCCTGATTCTCTGTTTCTCATATTTTTAGATTTCTGATTAGCCAACATTTTCATTTTTTAGATTTCCTGATTTTTAACCGTCCCGATTTTCAGATTTCACGCTTTTGAAACTTCCCTATTTTTTTTATTCCCGATTTTTCAGATTTACCGATTTTCAGATTTTTCAGATTTCCCAATTTTCCACATTTTCCGATTTTCAGATTTTCAGATGTCTTCATATTCGTATTTCCCGGGTGTATAATGTTACCGTGAGGACAGATACCCGCCCTCCCCTTCTTCTCACGCCGCCTTCCCTCATTATCCCAAAATTTTCCCCTCATCATCTTGGTGTTTCCCCTTCTCCTCATTTACATGGCGGGGGAGTAAGGGTAGCTGGGTGAGGGGAGGTATGGGTGGGTGGGGGAGGTAGTGAGGGTGATAGTAAAATGAGACACCCGACCTCTCTCTCTCTCTCTCTCTCTCTTTGATTTCCAACTTTGCTTGAGAAAAATTATTACTAGTGTGTGTGTGTGTGTGTGTGTGTGTGTGTGTGTGTGTGTGTTAGTGTGTGGCGACCTACGGTGTAATGGTCAGAATGCTCGACTCCCAAGCGAGTGACCCCGGGTTCGATTCCTGGGCAGGGTGAAACTATGGGCAAGTTCCTTTAAGCCATTTGCCTCTGTCTACCAGCAATAATTATACTGTATTACACTCACCTGTTGACTCATAACTATACAGCATCAAAACAGGTAAAATTCCGACTACTGTAGTGATACTGGATTAATTAGTGTTAAATGACAGTAAAAATAAGTTAACATATCCAGGATGTAATTCCACACAAATGTTAACACTGCCATAGTATAGAGTCGTGTCACCTTCTCCTACAGTGATAAAAAACAAAGTATGGACAATGATATACCTTTACAATTGTTTTACGCATCATAAATACAACATGGGAAATATCTATGAGTGGATCGCCTCGTGATAGCTGGACGGCTCTGAGGATGTCTGGTCTAACCCCGGGGTTTATTGTTACTAAATACATGTTGTAGTGTATGTGTTGTAGATATATGGTGTTGTGAAGTTATTTCCCTTTTGTGTATTTGTTTATTTTTCCTTGTTATCGTATAATTGTTGTGTGTATTTCCCTGTCCCATCCCATCCCCCCTCCGGCCCCTCCCATCCCCCCTCCGGCCCCTCCCATCCCTTCACCTTCCCTACTCCATCCTCTCCCATCCTCTCACCTTCCCTGTCCCTTCACTTGCTGGCTCTGTATAACTTAAACTCCCATTTCTCTTCGGCATCATAAAGCGCGGTACAGTATTTTATATTTCGGTGCATCTAGTAATGGTTGTAAAATCAGGGTTGGTCTCTTCAACATTTTATTACCGTATTTTCTGATTAAAATAATTCCTGTTACTGAAAATTTAGGTTTTGCCCCAAGATCAAAGTTTACATAATAAGTTACTCATAAATTAGACAATAACCCCCCCCCCCCTTTGAACATACTGACTATTCTAACTCAAAATGAAAATCGTCAGTTTTAGGGAGAAAGTTACGTCACAGTATCATCACCTCCCTGCGTCCTTCCTTAACTCAGCAGTAATGTGTGAAGCAGGTAGGAGAGGGTCAAGAACCAACACTACACCATAATGGGGAAAAGTGTAGAAGGAAGATCTAGTTAAGAGTCGTTTATATATGAAAATAATTAACATTTTCATCAATTAACACAAGAACCTGCAATATGCATAAAACATAGCTTAATCAATTTAATACATATTATCTCATTTTTAGTTTTAGGTTTAAAAATTTACATTATTTAACTTTTCAATAATATCCACAGAAAGTGACAACAACGTCACGAAGCAGTAATGTGATATTAGTATGGCAAGAGTTTGAAGAGAGAGAGAGAGAGAGAGAGAGAGAGAGAGAGAGAGAGAGAGAGAGAGAGAGAGAGAGAGAGAGAGAGAGAGAGAGAGAGAGAGAGAGAGAGAGACCAATAATAACACGAGGCGAGGCGGGCATGAGAAGGAAGGATGGAGGGGAGTGGTGTGTGTGTGTTCACTCCGCTAATCAACACTTGCCACATTAATCTGTCGCGAGTGCTGGTATGATGTACGCCTGGGTAACTCTATCCCCCATATGAGACACGCCTCCCTGCCCGTGTCCCCTCGCATAATGTCGCTATTTTCCTGCCTCCGGGGCTGCCTTATCTGGAGGAAACGCTCTCCTTATCTACCCCTTTGACGGTAGAATCTACGACCTAGGCGATTTAGATTCTACTATACTAGATGAGGGCGATGGAGAGAGATAGAAATGGAAATAAGGTGTCGGAAGGTTGGACGGAGGTTATGGCCTCCTGGGAGTCAGATTCTCAAAAGGTTCGTAAGATATTTCTTCTACCCCGTGACTGGTGATGCGACAACGTCTCTAAAACTGGATCACTTAAGATAGGACACAGAGACTGGGGCCTAAACGTTGTCAGCATCCCAGTGGGACTCTGTCGTAGCTATGTTTTTCTTTTGTTCAAGTAAGGGGAGCAGTTGAACTTATTAACTTCTGAGAATCCGCCCCGGAGTTCAGAATTCTTACAATCTAGTGTGCTTATTTCTTCCCCTGTAAATGGATATGAGATTACGCACCCAGTTACTTTAGAGACTCTTTTTCAATTTCACCCCTATTTTATCTGCCATCTTTATGCCGCAGCTACAGTGAGCCAGCTACATGTGTCCTCACACTCCCAGCCCGCGGGAAATTGAGCGTAAGACCTCCTGAGAATCCCAGCCCTACCCCAGGGTCCTCAAGGTTCTTAAGTTACTTTCTTACCACATCTGCAGTAGAGTGCCAGTGTAATTGCGGCGCCATTTTACCTGGTATCATTGTGCGTGGCAGCCAGATCAGTTCTCTGGTGTTTCCTCTTGAGGGTAATATTATGAGGTAGGAGTGTGTGAGGTGCCGTGTCCTGGGGTGTGTGGCGAGAGAGCCTCAGTCACAACACTAATTAGACGGGGCTTAGCAGGATGACTGGCCGCCCCTCCCCACCACACACACCACTGAGCACACAACTCAAAACACAAGACCACGGTGCCAGATTTCGTTGGATTTAATAATGAGAGAGAGAGTGAGAGAAGGAGGAAGGGGCGAGGGCTGGTGTGGCCGTGTGAAACAGACACACAGAGAAAGTGAAGGGAAATTATATATATATATATATATATGTGTGTGTGTGTGTGTGTGTGTGTGTGTGTGTGTGTGTGTGTGTGTGTGTGTGTGTTTCAATCAATGTGACAGATCAGGTAATCTATAAAATGCCTGTGAAAATGTTCCGCTTCGCCTTATGTATGTTGTGTATAGGTTAGGTTATGTTACGTTACGTTATTCGGCTGAGAACTGCATCAAAAAATAATTAAACTTCACACTAATCCAAACCAAACCAAACCAAACCTAACCAAACCAAACCAAACCAAACCAAACCAAACCAAACCAAACCAAACCAAACCTAACCTAACCTAACCTAACCTAACCTAACCTAACCTATACACAACATAATAGAAACAATAACAACACAAGGGGATGAAGGACTGGCAAGGAAGGGAGCGTGAGTCTGACCTACACGTGAAAGTGTGTCCATAGAGGCAGTGCGGATACAGCACACTGTAGTCAAACCCTTTTACTCAGTACACGAAAAGATAATGTAGTCGGCACTGTACTCGCCGCCTTCATTTCCCCAACTGTAATGTAAGGTGTCCATTAATAGATGATAGAATGATGATACTCTGGATGCGAGTTGGTGATCTTTAGGGCAGGATGTGAGCACTGTCTCTGCTCGGCCACCGCAACCTGAGACAACAAAGGAGATTGGGAAGGTGTATGGCAGAGTCAGCACTGAGACTTACGTGGCCCATACAGTGTTGACGGGAAAAATGTTACCTTATAAAAATAAAGATTATGTGTATTAAATGTTTATAATAATAAGTATATTGAACCTACAGGGTTATTTTTTTATCATTTATTGAACTGATAAAATCTGATAGAAAGAACTGTGGAAATACTGAAGCTTTTTAATCATTGGGAAGTTCCTTGAAATATATTAAGAGATTATATGTAATTTAATATTTATACATGTTTAACTGTGTTGTTCTTATTTGTGTTTTTGTTACTTTTATTTGTATTTGTTGTTTGTCTCAAGTCTATTGTTTTGTCATTGTTGTTTTTGTCTGTTTTTTCTGTCGATGTGTCTGTCTGTTCTAGCCATAGCTCCAAAACGGAAGCAGTTACAGATGAAGGAACTTTACACACCACAATGTTCCCCGACTGAGATATCACCACGGTCAGAGAGAGAGAGAGAGAGAGAGAGAGAGAGAGAGAGAGAGAGAGAGAGAGAGAGAGAGAGAGAGAGAGAGAGAGAGACCTTCATACTCCCAACAGCTGTCTGACTATCCCTTCAAGTATATCCCGTTTGACCAATCCAGGATCATCCCTCACCCCCCATCTATCTTCCTTCTATCCATCTATACCTCTAGGCTGCAAGACACACCTCTTCATCCTCACCCCCCTCCACCTTCTAGCCAATTAGAATGACGCTAATATTACCTGCGTTTGACACTGAGTTATGGCTCGTCTTGGAGATTATCAATTATGATGTTTAGAATGATGTGTTGTGCCGGGGGAAGGGGGAGGGGGGGTTGTACGTGATGGTGTGTGTGTGTGTGTGTGTGAGAGAGAGAGAGAGAGAGAGAGAGAGGTTACCACATAAGCTTAACGTATACATCCACTCTGCCAGTCACTCGCCTCACCACTCGCCTCAGTGTCTTTATCGGTCATTCACTCGTTCACTCCCAACAAGGATCAAACTATACCTAATTTGGGGTTTCTATCCTAAAATAAACAAAACGCTTCATATTTTCGAGTCTAACAGCCATCATTAAGGTAGAACAATTAAACAGACGACATTTACGTCATAACTTTCAAGAACAAGTAATTTATTAAACCTCACCATATTTAACTAATCTTATCTATTTAATTAATATTTCCCTTACATACAAAATCAAAAAGGAATAATTTATGAGAAAATATCAATAATTATTTTCTAATGTTTCAATAAGCTTCTTGGTAAGTAATTCGTCGTTTGTGTCGTCTTTCCCTCTATAAACACAAGGGAACTTAAACATTATTTATACATGTGTCTAAATAATAATAATAATAATAATAATAATAATAATAATAATAATAATAATAATAATAATAATAATAATAATAACAATAATAATAATAATAATAATAATAATAATAATAATAATAATAATAATAATAATAATAATAATAATAATGTTTTAGAGTAACAGTAATCACGGAACAGTTGACACCCATAATATATTTATATTTTGTATAATAAATGATTTAAATTAATGATCAGTTCACTAAGAAAATTATTATAGCTTCAGCACAATTAAGATGAATTGGAAAATAGGTCCCATTACTGATACTCACCTGTCCAAATGGGTGCCAGTTTAATCCAAATCTCTCCCAATCCTATTAAGTCCCAATTCTTAACAGGTAAAGTTTGCTTGTGCCTATTACAGTTACGACCTATTTTAACTGGGGTCTATTACGATTAGTGGCCTATTATGACTAAGGTATCTTACTATGAGGGCCTATTACAACTAAGACCTATTACAATTAGGACCTATTACTACAAACACTATTTCAGGTGTGTTCTAATATACCTAGAAACACTCATTACTTCGTGAGTTTGGAAGAAAGTTTGGATCACCTGAAGAATCTCCACCTTATTTCACCTGAAGATTAACCTCCCTAACACTATTTGGGGGATGAGGTTAGATTAGGTTAGGTTAGGTTAGGTTAGGTTAGGTTAGGTTAGGTTAGGTTAGGTTAGGTTAGGTTAGCATCAGGGTGGCAAGTCTTCAGGTGAAATAGGGTGGAGATTCTTCAGGTGTTCCGAAAACTCTTTACCATATTCATCAACAAGGGAACCAACGGGTCACTCACAAGCCACAGCTCATTAGTGTAGTTGATGACAGTCACGACGCCCGGCTGTCTGCTGGCTGAGTGGTGCGGTGTTGTGGCAGACCAGCGTGCACAGTCACCAGGTTCGAGCCCTTACTCATAACAGGAAGGGGGAGAGGGTGAATTCAAGAAGTGTGAGTCAGCTCCATGAAACTCTTGTCTTCCTGATATAAATGACTCATTAATTGACTGTGTGACTCATTGACTAACGGAATGTCTGACTGACTGGCTGACTGACTCACTGGCTGGATCATAGACTGACTGGTTAATTGATTAAGTGTCTGACTGACTGAATCATTGACTTACTGATTAACTGACTGACTGACTGACTGACTGACTCATTAACTTGTGACCATGAAGGCCACACCTCCCTGTAGGCCAAACTAACCAGTAGACCACACCTCCCTGTCGGCCACACCTCAACTGGCCTAGAGAACAGTGTGGCCAAAATGTAGGCGCAGCCTACACGGAGATTTGGCCTAAAGGGAGGTATGGCCCACAGGAAGGTGTGACCTGCAGGAGGTGTGGCCTACGGGGCATTATGGCCAAAAGGAAGGTGTAGCCAACAGGGCAGTGTGACCAAAATGGAGGTATAGACTACAGAGCAGTTTGGCCTACATGGAACTGTAGCCTACAGAGAGGTATGGCCTACAACGAGGTGTAGCCTACAAGGTGTGGCCTACAAAGGGGTGTAGCCTACAAAGGGGTGTGGCCTTCAAGGAGGTGTGGCCTACTGATCAGTTTGGTCTAAAGCTTGGACCAAACTGTCCGTAGGCCACACCACCTTGTAGACCAGACCTATACCTGAAGGTCGTATTTTCCGATAGGCTACACCTCCTTATAAGTCACACTGCCCTGTAAACCATAGCCTAAAAGCTCACACCACCAGTAGGTCACACCACCAGTAGGTCACACCACCAGTAGGCCGCACCACCAGTAGGTCACACCACCAGTAGGCCACACCACCAGTAGGCCACACCACCTGCAGGTCACACCACCAGTAGGTCACACCACCAGTAGGTCACACCACCAGTAGGTCACACCACCAGTAGGTCACACCACCAGTAGGTCACACCACCAGTAGGTCACACCACCAGTAGGTCACACCACCAGTAGGTCACACCACCAGTAGGTCACACCACCAGTAGGTCACACCACCAGTAGGTCACAACCCCCAAAAGGACGCATCTTTACATTAGCCGCACCCTTGTGGGTCATAGGTGCCGCCAGGTAACTTCTTCCCCAGAAACACCTGTTCAGTTGGCCACATCTGTATCGGTTCCTCCGTGACACCTTCCACACCCCCGCCGTCCAGCTCCTGAAGCAGGTTAGTACCACGCCTGGAGGCCACGCCTTAAAGTAGAGGCAGACCTCATTCTCAATACTTGTGCGAATCATCTATTTACGTCCACCGTATAGGCCACACCCCCAGCATGTAAGGCCTTGCCACCTGTTTGTGGCCATGTGGACGCTACATCTTTTCATGGACGCCACGTCCCAGCAAATAACGGGCCACTTAAGTCACTCCCCCGGGAGGTCACATCGCATTATATAGTTACCTAAGTATCTTCCTCACTCGTAGGCCACACCAACAGTACGACTTGTTTCTTTAGTGGTCACACCCGACACCCACTCCCTGTCCTTGTTACTTGCCCTGACACCCTCAGCTTAAGTTGTTACGCGCTCGTCTCTGAAGCCAGACACAAATATGCGATACTTGTTGACGGGGGTCTCTAGGCCAAGCTACAGAGGTGATGCCTTAGAAAATTCATATCTAACAAAGACACTGTTGAATATAATCTGGGTCTGTCCAAAAGAACCCTTAAACTGTAATTAGGGAATAACTTATTGATGAATTTGACGCAAGCAGACAAGTGCAAACAGGCACTAGTCGATCCATAGTTTACCATGATGAGATGTATCAAATGAAACATGTATATGGAGCAAGCAACAAGATCGCTAGATTACAAGATGTTGTAACCGCTAGATTAAGGTTAGGATATAAGTACCTCTGGCAGTATGTTCCTCAAGCAGATGTAAACAAAACTAAATGTAAAGTGTGTGGTCAGACATATGGCCACACACTTGAACACTACGTCCTCGACTGTGTGAAGATAGAACCTTTTAAGGACAGGTCCAAGCACACTGTGTGTGAAATGGCACAACACTTCATCTCTAATGGCAAGATAGCCGACATATTAAGATTGTATCCCCTTTTCTGCACTTAGTAGCTACACTGTACATCAGCTCCCATGTACAGTATAGAACCAAACACACAATGTGCTTGAATGTCTCTCACGTAAATGTGAATAACAAAGTGTGCGGCCAGACATACTGCCTTACACTCCTGTACTCACTCAGTTGTAAATAAGTTACCCTTTATGCACAGAACTAAACAAAGAAGCTATCTGAAATACTCTTTAACATTCATCGCCACAATACCCCGACTACTAGGGTCTAATAAACACTTTGTGGTCTCTATTCTGTAGTCTCTCTGCGCTACCGTTCAAAGGGTAAGTATGGGGTGTATAATAAACTAGCCACTGTCTGATGCAAAATTATAAAATATACATAATTCACCAGTACGATATGTTCCTTCGTTGCCCCCACCACACCAGTCGGTCACGCCCCAGAATGATCACCTCCCATCACCTGTACCAGTTCTTTGCTTCCAAATACTGACCCTTCTCCTGTAGGTCACCTCCCCCAGCAGGTTACTCCCACCAAGGGTACCTTCCTGCACCAGCTCCTGGTGTGGGTAGTAAGGCCCATAGCAAGCAGGCCACACCTCCATCAGGCCACACCTCCAGCAGGCCACACCCCCATCAGGCCACACCTCCAGCAGGTCACACCCCCAACATCTGTATCAACGTTTTGTGAACAGTGTAAAGAAAATGCCTCTTGCACAACCACACCCCTAGCACTCTAAGCCCTCTAATAAACTGTACCCTACCACAGGCTTCACCCCCCCTCCCTCCACAAACCAAACTTCTGTGGTAGACAAGTGATAGGCCACGCCCCCTCAGCAGGCAATATCATCTACAGGCCACGCCTCAAACAGGCAACACCACCCTCAGTCCACGCCCCCATGAGGCAGCACCCTCCACAAGCCACGTCCCAACACACAGAGCCCCCATAGGCCACGCCCCAACAGATAACACCCCACAGACCACGCCCCCAACAGGTAACATCCCCCCACAGGCCACGCCCCCAACAGACAGCACCCTCCAAAAACCACGCCCCCAACCCACAGCGCCCCCACAGGCTACGCCCCCAAAAGGCAGCACCCCCACAGGCCACGCCCCCATCAGCCAGTATCCCCACAGGCTTGCCCCCACCAGACAGCTCCCCACAGGCCACGCCCCCAACAGGCAGCACCCCACAGGCCACGCCCCCAAAAGGCAGCACCCCCACAGGCCACGCCCCCATCAGCCAGTACCCCACAGGCCACGCCCCCAACAGGCAGCACCCCACAGGCCACGCCCCCCAACACCTGTATCAGCTGTTTGCGTCCCGCGTTTAGTCATGATCATTATCTGTAATAAGACCGACCATATTTTGCCCTAATGAGGTTCTTGAGCTAATTTACAACTTAATCAGACCCCGAGTCCTTCACTCTGATGGATCTCGCCTATTATGGCCGACTTTGTAATTGCAATTAAACGTAAAATACGATATTGAATTAACATATTCGGATAAGTTTATCGTCACGTCTCACAGATCGGTTTAGCAGGGTTGATATTTAAATAATAATGGTAAGAGGAGTCAGCCCTATGGACGCCCCTCTCGCCTTATGTTTTGGCCTGGCATCCCGACCCTCGCCCACGACCACGGCTTAGGTTGACCATCCTACCGTAACGAACACTTGCACTCTTTTATACCCGCGAGTTAGATATGCATGATCCTGAATTTCCTCCGCTGGAGAGACCACAGGTATAATATTTCTCCACCAGCTTTAATATTTTAACCCGGATTTTAACGCCTGGCCTCATCCCCCCGCGCCATTTTTCAATTAACAATTGGCGATCGCATTAGGTAATTATTTTGACGGGTCGCGGGATAATTTACAGCGGCCATAAACGGCGGAGCACAAGAACCTCGCCTTGTGGGACACCGCCAAGCTGCGCCACAATTTACGACTGATCTTACCCAAGGAAAAAAAATAATATCGGGCGGGAGTTTAGAGTCTCCGGAAAGGTTAAGAGCGTCTTATTGGGGGTTCTGGTGGAGAGTTTCAACAAATATTGTGAAACATGATTTAGACTTTGATGAAAATGTCAAGTATTTTTTTTTTTATGATGATGAAACTGTTGGTTCTCCTTCGCTCTAACTGATGAAATTATTGAGTTTTTATTATTATTAATGATGAAATTGTTTTCCTTATTTTACTCAAGATAAATGCGTTGATTTTACGACAAATATTTATTCAATAATAAAATCACGAAAAACTAATAACTTCAAAATATAATTATCTCGACTCACTTAAGCTGTATGACAGTAGTTTAAACAATGATTTACCTCCTACAGTTAAGTGTTTACAACTGTTTATGACTGGATGATAATGACTCTACTATAAAGAATGGAGGGTTGAGTCACTTAATGTATTTCTCAATATAATTAAAAGTGGATAATTAATTGATAAAAGTTGAACTATAGTTTTTGGGGCAAAATAATGAAAAAAATACAAATACAAAACGAACAATAAAACAAGACTGACATGGGTGAGTTAGTGAACGCCGGGAATGATGGAACTAACAGGTAATAAAGTATCCTAATTAGACCATAAACAAACACCTGTTCAACACCTTGCCCAAGACACCACAGTAATCAGTTCAGAGTAAGATTGAGACGCCATTGGCTACTCCCACAATACCAGTGACCAATCAGGTGTGAGTATTAAACTATAAAGACTTCTAAATGGGTGAAAATATGACCATAAGAAAACATATCATAATAAATATGATAAATAGAGATGAATGAATAATAATCTTGTGGGTTAATTTGTTATTGTTCTGCCACGTGTCTCTTAATAGTATGAATAGACAGAGATAAATAGACGGCCAAAGACAGATACAGACAGATGGAAAGACAAGAGAGAGAAAGACTGAAAGAATTATGAGACAGACACACACAAAGAAACAGATAAGACAGACATAGACAGATAGAAGGATAGACAGGAAGAATGGACAGACAAGAACAATCAGCAAGACAGACAGATGGAAAGAAAAAATAAACACAGATAGACAGAAAGACAAGACAAAACAAAGAGAGAGAGAGAGAGAGAGAGAGAGAGAGAGAGAGAGAGAGAGAGAGAGAGAGAGATTTCTGGTTCCATCACCCCTGTTTTACCTTGGCCACCACCTGCAGCCTCCAGCACTCGCCTCGTCGCCTCACACACACACACACACACACACACACACACCTGTATGTGTTACTTCTCTTGACCAACATACAGAAGCTAGCTGATCTGTCTCCTCTCTGTCTCTCTGTCTCATTGTCTGTCTATTTCTGTCTCTCTGTCTCATTGTTTGTGTCTGTTTGTGTTTTTGTCATCTCTCTCTCTCTCTCTCTTAATGTTACATATTTCTTGTGTCAGGAAACTACAATACAGGTACAGCTATAGATATGCGTGCAGGTACAGGTAAATACAGATATAATTACAGGTACAGTCACCGATGCAGGTAGAGATATAAACAAGGTCACAGGTAAGAGTCCAGGTATATATACGAGTACAGCTGTCAATTAAGATACTAAGACAGGTATAGGTATTACAAAACATATAGACTTATTGCTATATATACAGGTACAAAAATGTCATGATTATAGGATTACAGAAGCGATACTGAGGAACATTGTTAATAAAACCTCTATAATTCGGAGGATTACAGAAACGCTACTGAGAAACATTGTTAATAAAACCTCTATAATTCGGACTCCAATATTTCGGAATCCCGGAAAAGTCGAACTAATTCTGTATATACTTTGCATGTTAATCTGGTGTTATAATCGGAGTTTGGTCAGTAATATTTATCTGTTGGTGACCTGTAATAAGTTATAATGACACTTATCAATCGTAGAGTATTGTAGAAAAAAGTAAGAGCTATTGAACATTTTAACCTCTTGTGTACGGGTTCCCTCTGAGCTAAATAAAATCATGTGGTGTTAAATAAATGAAATATTAAACGTGGCGTCCCCGTCTTGAAGGTGTTAGTGGAAATAGTCTACTGAACACAACACAACCCTGTAATATGACACAAAAAGGTTAATTCATCTGTTTATTACATTGCTCTCGTATTTTCATTGACATTTTCTTCATTTGAGATTTTAACTGTATTTTAACCAATTGTATTCATCTTAAATGCCAATATTTGTTAAGCTGAAGCCTGTTAGAACTGTGGCCCATCGGGTTAGTAGCACTTCTTCGCACTGTCCTGTATCTGTCACTTATAGCTTTCTACTCCTTGCACTTGCACAGTCTCCCTTGCAACATCCCTGCCTCGTCCTTTTGCATAAATATTGTTGTGCAAGCTTCCCACCCACACATATACACGTGTGTGTGTGTGTGTGTGTGTGTGTGTGTGAGTAATTTGCATGGTTTATTCAAATTAACGATAATTCATATGTAACCCTTTATCCTCCAAAACACACACACACACACACACACACACACACACACACACACGTAAACTGCAATATCCCACGTGACATAATTAACTCTCCTTCCTCATCCACCTGGGCCAAAACTCCCTCACAAATCAGGCAGGAAACAGACCTCCGATAGAAGTGTCTCGTGTCGTCGAGTCATTTACCAACTCTCCATTAAGTCACAGTGATGAAGTGTTCTTGAGTAATGATGGTCGTAGAGACAAGAGTCGTAATAAGATAATAACGAGGTATACTCACGACAAGGAGGCCCGACCATTGGTTGAGTAAACTGTATTACGTTATTTCCGTGTGGTACGGTTCGTGTCTGTCTGTCTGTCACTTATTCCCCCCCTCCCCCCAATTTAAAAGCTAAAAGCTAATATCCCCCTGGGTCATCACACAAGTCCTGATAACTTTGCAAATAACAACTGAGAGACTAAATCAATAATTATGCCTGACTTCCAATACAACAAGCAGTCTATTTCACTCAGACTAATTGAGAATGATAAGTCACATTACTCATCCATCACAGATCAGTCATAGTTATAGGTAGACACGTCACCATGGGAGCCTCGTCCTAAGAACTCACGCGATAGGACACCGTAGTTATGATTGCTGGCATTGATAGTTTTAGCGGACGACTACAATTTGTGAAAGATTATATAAAGGAAAATTTTAAAATGATCCAAGCGTGTTTCTGTTGTTCACTAGATACCTTTTAATATATTCTTAATTACTCTATACCATCTTACCAGCAAATACGGTCCATGTAGCGTCTGTTGGTGCGTCCCCCATAAGTAACCCAAGAACAGGTTTGCAGAGTAACGCCCTACTTGCTCGGTTTGATCAACATATGACAAGTTCCAAGAGATAAACCTTTGATGCAAATCGCTCCCAAATTGACCAAGTGTTGCTATATCGTAACTGTTGGCTCAATGATAACACACAAGTTTTCTCTGGGTTACAATAAACGATGACACGAGAGAGTCTCCAGCGGTGACTACATTAAACCACACTGTCTCTGGTGTGATGTTTAATTCATGTTACCTTGATGAGGGTGATGGTGTCAACTGGACGTCTTCTCTGGTCTACTGGATACTTTTAATAATGTTAGTAATTTTCTTGTTTATAATATATTTATGATGATGATGATAATGATGATGATGATGATGATGATGATGATGAAAATATTGATGATTTTTTTCTTTCTGTGTTGATGCATCATTTTCCGTATGTCTTTGTTGATACACACGAAATCAAACCACATATATCAGGTGAAGGATGATGGGGACAAAGGCGTCATCCTCCTCTATGGCTCTATGGTAAGTGGGGGAGGGGAAAGGGTAATATTTTCCTCCTCTTCTTAAAAAAAAAAAGCGTCGAGAGGAAAAGAGATATTTTACTCCTCCATAAACTGTGATGGAACCTATAATACACGTTGTTTCCTAACCTAACCTAACCTAACCTAACCTAACCTAAGCTAAGCTAACCTAACCTAACCATGATCGTATCAGCGAATAGTTAAACTCTCTCTGTCCCGAATAAAATTGGATCCAGTTCAACTTCAGTTCAGATATCAACATTGTGTGTGTGTGTGTGTGTGTGTGTGTGTTTGTTTGTGTGTGTGTTTTGTGTATGTGTGTGTGTGTGTGTGTGTGTGTTCTCCCCATTCTCCCAGTATTACTCTACGATGTAAACAAACAGTGGTGCCACATCTCACAAAAACACGCCAGCCATTGTACCCGTTATAAATGGAAGCAACTTTACAGACAGACTGACGACCGAGTGTTAGAATAATATACAATTAAGAGAAAAGACACTCAAACAATTATGCTATGCAACTATACACATAAACAGAAAAAGCCTAAAGAAATAAGT